GCGTCAGAGGAGACCCTTCAGCGTTTCTTCACACACTCCCTCACACAGACTCTCACTTACAAGCCTCAACTAACCGGTAAAGACAAGTTGTTGACCTTTTTAAACTGCTTCATGCTTGGTTTTTTTTCTTGATGCTTATACTTAAACTTATGATACAAATCTGGTAAGAACTTCAATTGGGGTCAGAAAAGGTTTGGTAAAACTTTTCAATAAGTATCCTGATGCACATGTACATGCTGCTTTCATAGTGGGGAAAACATCTGAAGTGTAACAACTTAATCTCATACCCGCAGTGTCCGATGCCATCGCTCTGCAGAATGAGTGGACCTTCGCAAAAGCCAACCGGTTGTTGACCTCTCTGTTCCATAAGGTAAATGTTAAAAGCAGAGCAGGTTATAAACCATCACATATCAACAAGTTTGCTCTGATTCATGTGACTTTTTTACATGTAAGACTAAAGAGTAAGTGACTGAGTGCTATTTCTTTTTCATAACATTATAATTAAAGGTAGAGAAAGATCGTTGATAGATGAACAAAACACCCCTACAAATACGCCCAATGTTTTTCAAAAGACTGCTGAAAATGATGAAGATATAAATTACACAACGGCATAAATAATCATGTTGTAATGTCGACTTGTTCCTCCCTAAAGGCTCTGTTCACCTTTTTATTGTATTTTCTTTTCATCTGTTATTGCACTCTTTTAAAGGAAACCAGTAAAGATAGTTAATGCACAGTGCTGAGCCCTATTTCCTTTTGAACTTATCAGGCTTCAGGTGTACAGCCTTCAGCGCAGAGGAAACACAGCATTGAGAGTATTGATTTATGATCTATTATGATGATCTCACCTGCAACAGTATGTCAGCCTGTTAGTCACTCTAAGCTAAAAAGGTTACTGGAAGTGCTCTCTGTGTCTTCTGATCTTTGGTCTGCAGGGTCTGTTGTAACAACGCTAACAGTAACTTGTCTGTATTGTTCTTGTGCTCCTGTAACAGCTGGCTGTGATCTTCAGTGTGGAGCAGCTGCTGTGTCACCTGCAGCAGGTTTTGGAAACCCACGAGGTCAACTGGAAGCACGTCCTTTGCTTCCTCTCCACCCTGCTGGTTTACAACCCCTGTGCCCAGCTCAGCCTGAGAGGTAAACGCTTTTATACTGGATTAATACTGCCAAGTGCCAATATTATGAACTGAGAACACATTTGACCATTTTTCACGTGTGTCATCAAATTGTCCCATTCAAATTAATTTTGCAGTTTCTCATAGATGAAGTATTTTGCACTTACCATTTCAAAGTAGAAAGGTGCTCTCAGTAGAAAATAGATCTCCACCAGGTGTGTCTGCAACAGCCACTGCTTATTGTCTAACCCCCGTTCTAGACACCAATGGGCTGTAAGGCTTCGTAAAACACTTCATTCAAACTTAAAAACAAGCGACGATGTATGCAGGCTCAAAGTTGTCGTGTAAGAAAGTTCTTACAATCTTGCCAAAAAAATGAAACTCACCAAACCGTCTCATGTACTCAGCAGTGTGTACTAGCTCTGTTAGCTGTTAGCCAAACACATCGTCCAAAACAAAAAAAGAGAGCAAACTGTTCCCCACTTTGTCTCTGGGCGGTGATGCACTCAGCTGTGTTATCACTAGCGGCCCCTGACGGCCAGGGGCCTGTTAAGAGTAGTGAGTGTGGAGTCAGTAGGCAGGCAGTGGCAGTATAAAACGCGCAATAAAAGGTGTTTTGGTAAAGGGTTATTCACCGCAACCAAGAAAGCTCCTCGAGCGTGCAGCTGTAACTGGTGGTCACCCAAAATAGTAGGCAGTTTGCTGCAGCAAATTCATGGCGGAAGTTATAAAAGCTTAACACCAATAAACTTATACGTCAGACTATGAACAGAAATTGATAGAAATTTGCTTTGGGTCGTTTTCATCACAGCGTTAAAAAGCTGTTCATGTCTGTTCTGTTTCTCTTCCTCTGCCAGAGCTGCTGTCCAGACTGCTGAGCTCCGCATTTGAAGGCTACGACCTAGAGAACATGATAACTGCCTTCCTATTGGCTCGACAGGGTGCGCTGGAGGGACCCGCCATCTTCCCCTCCTACAGCAACTGGTTCAAGGTTTCATATTGGCTTTTCAACACCACTAGTTTGGTTATGGACATGTTTGGATTAGTGCTGCTGATAGTAAGCATCTTTAAGTGAGCTCAGCGGCATGACCAGCAGCTATTTTGGCGTGCATTCACCACATAAGACAATGGACATTTTTCAGATCGTTTAACAAAGGTGGAGTGTGTGTATTAATAGGGTTGTTGTTCAAACCCATGATGCAACAGTTTACATGGTAATGGGATTGTCTGTTTTTGCAGTTTGTTGTTATCACAGATAGAGTTCCAGAGAGTTTGAGAAGTCTTAAAGCACATCAATATGTATTATTTTTACTAGTAGCAGTATTCCTGTCTGCCTTTTCAGATGTCTTTCGGGGGAGGCAGTGGCTACCATGCGACCAGTAAGAAATCTCTGGTGTTTCTGCTGAAGTTCCTGTCTGACTTGGTGCCCTTTGAACCCCCACAGTACCTCAAGGTGACACTCTACATATGTCTCTGTCTCTGAAACATTTTTGATAGCCTCATTTCGCTAGACATAAAATATATGGTGTCTTTGTATGTCAGATGAACCTTTAATGATCCCAAGTGGGGCAACTGTGGCTCAGTGGTAGAGCAGGGTCGTCCTTCAATCAGAGGATCGGTGGTTTGATCCCCGCCTCCACTAGTCCATGTGTCATTGGGCAAGACACTTGACCCCAAAATTGCTTCTGAAAGCTGTTCCTGTGGTGTATGAATGGATATGAATGATTACATAGTCCCGATGGGAAGGTTGCACATTGCATGCTAGCTGCTGCCATCAATGTGTGAATGATGACATGTAGTGTTAAAGCGCTTTGAGTGGTCGGAAGACTAGAAAAGAACTATACGGTAAAGTCCATTCACCATTTAACTGGATACTACAGCAAATAATAACAGGATTCAGAAGAAGACATACTAAAATATTGTTCATGCTGTATGTGGGGTATGATAAATGTATGCAGTATAATAAACCATAACTATTGAAAAAAAACTATGCAGGAATATAACTTAATAAATACTATGAAGTCTGCAGCAGTGGTGGAAGGTTACAAAGTACATGTACTTCAGTACTGTGATTAAGTTCAAGTTTGAGGTACTTGTACTTTACCTCAGTATATCCATTTTATGCACTTCTACTTCACTACATCTCAAAGGAAATTATTGTACTTTTTACATCCAACACATTTATCTTACAGATGTACTTACTCAGATAATAAAACATATAAGCTTTCAAAACACAAGGAATTTTTAAATATCAAACAGTAGTTCTCAACCTTTTTGGTTTATGACCCTTTCTAAAACAAAAAATAAAATCTGTGTCAACTAACCGGTGAGTTGTGACCATTTCCCCTCAACTTCATAGATGCTTTCATATGAATAACCATTCCTTTCTGTTCTGTGGACTTTAAGTTAAGCTGTCAGCACACTACAAAATCTGGGGAATCAGTATTAATGACTGATTATCTGGCGAAAGCGATGTGCTTTGTGAACTCTTAGTAACATTTGTGAATTTGAGTTTACGTGCAAGGCTGGGAAATGTGTATGCTACTAAATACTCAGCTGAAAAAAAGTGGTTTGGTGATTTAGTTTCTCTTTAAAGTTAACACATCATGTTTTCCTTCAAACATTTTAGGGGAACTAATAAGCAGGTAAGCATGTTTTGTTGTGCAGAAAATATAGTCTTTGTTGCCCTTTCTTGAGGCGAAATGTAAGAAAAGTAAGAAAAATGTCAAATTTTACTCACTCAGCGGCTGGCTAGTTAGCTAGCTAGCTTGCTAATTCCACCATGTTTTCATGCTTCAGCTACAGACCATAAAAAGCACCACATGAACGTCTGTAGCAGTACTGAGTTTTTCCTCTTTCCTAAACCATGAATCATCCCATGACCCCCCCCCCCCCCCCCCCCCAGATTTGTATTGTGACCCTTTGGAAGGGTAACAGACCCCAAGGTTGGAAACCGCTGCACTAAACTACCTAAGTGTATAAAGTAAAACTAGCTCCACCATGACCAGCTTTAACAGTCAAATGCTACTTACACAGTCAGTCTTTTTGTGTAATGAACATTTTATGCTTTAAGTATGTTTAGCTGCTAGCACTTCTGTACTCTTACATCGGTCATATTTTGAATGCAGGACTTTACCTTGTCAAGGAGTTAATTTGTTTATGGTTGTCTTGGAACTTAAAGTCAAGATGAAAAGCACCTACTTAACAATATATGCAAATAGAATTACAAATAAATCAAGTTGTTTGTATTTTTATATCAAAATCCAAACGACTGTAAAACAATATATTACGCATGCTTTTGTAATCTACTACCAGCCAATTCCAACCATTAATATCATGACATCATCCATCAATCAATCTGTGTGGAGCCACAGTCCTCCGCTGCTCCGTATTGTGCTACATTCTAAGCCCGCCCACTTTTTTTTTTAGCGGTCCAATCACAAATGCAAAGGATTTAATTCGAATCCCTCTTGTTACTGTTCACTGCTGAAATATTCCATTTCACTGGGGAACAACATCACAGTACAGAAAGAAGATGCTCTAACTTCCATTTCACTGGGACTGTGCTGGACTAGAAAGAGCAAAACTCACTGTCATTTTACCCCTGGTAGGTTCACATCCTGCAGCCTCCATATGTACCCGTGAAACACCGCAGCCTCCTGATGGAGTACGTCTCTCTGGCCAAGACCAGGCTGGCCGACCTCAAGGTAAACACCAAGGGATTTATCCTCAGCACATCATTACTGCGTTATTTAGACATTTTAATATTGAAAATAGACACAGTCCTCCCAGATGTTCTGTGATGTATCCATGATTGTGTGTGTTTGTGTGTGTCCCACATGCAGGAGTCAGTGGAGGACATGGGTTTGTATGAGGATGTTTCTGGTGCAGGCGGAGCATCATTGCAGGTAACCGCAACACCCAGTGATATGTTTGTGTCGTCGGCAGAGAACGCCCTTATTTTGACGAGGCTCTTTTAATTTTCCGAGCTCAGGAAAGTGTCAAAGATAATGGAGGCAAACATTTCAAGCATCGCGCTTCAACTAAGATTTGAGAAACCAGAAAATCTTAGCACCCGGTTAAGGCATCAATGATGCAATGAATTATAGGAATCAACCGCTAATCAACCCTCTTGCAGATGTGATTAGTTTGTGGTCTAAAATCCTGTTTGAAACATTTCAATTCCTGAGTTTTGGTCGCTGTACCAAAGCAGTCAATACTTAAAAAACAAATACAAATATATTTTCTACAAAGCTCTGTGTTCCATTCATCCATCCATCCATTTTCCACCGCTTATCCGGGGTCGGGTTGCGGTGGCAGCAGGCCAAGCAGGCTGACCCAGACCTCCCTCTCAGCTCTGTGTTTTAATTATCAAAGGAATCTCGAATTTTTATTTAGATAAATGTCTGTTAAGTCACGATCTATCGCAGAAGGAGGTAACACAATGGGGAGTGAGCGTTATAGACTTGTTTTTCAAAATAACATCCCCCATTTCCCTCACTGTATGTTAACAGGAAACTATGGTCAGACCCAGCTTTTTAAAATAAAAACCCTCAGAAGGTATCGTCATCTTAACAGGGAATAATAAATACTGGGTGTTTGTGGTGACATTCTCAGTAAAGAAAATGCTGTATTACAGTTTATCACCGTTAAATAAACAATTAATAGAACTATGCACACAATTCTAAAAACTTGAAGATCGTGTATTAACAAAAAGATGTCAGACTGCATTGTTTTCACTCCAATATATATCACAATAGAATGTCTAAATAACCAGGACTAATAACAAGCACCCATGCGATTACTGCGAAACTGGAGGCACTCACCAGATGGAGCGCGTACATTAAGGCTGAGTCCTTACTCCTTATGTCGTCCCCTTTCTCTCTCCCCTGCCGTTCCTGTTTGTCTCTCTCACTATCAAATAAAGAACAAATGCCAAAAAAAAGATCTGACTAGACATTTAATGCCAACATAGACCCTTTACCCGCCGACATCATTTAGCTCCAGTCATCCAGATGAGTTAACAAACTTTACACATTGAACTCAAACTTTTTCCAGCATCAAAATGTCTGGTTATTGGATGATTGGTCATCAGAATCGATATTCCTACAAAGTTCAGACAGGATCACGATCAGGGCAGCAGGTGTTTCAGTTTAACAAGTGAACATGTTAACTGGTGACTCTTGGCCAAATGTGTCCGTGGTTGGTAGATAATAAACACAGATGAGTTTGTATTTCAAATTGATTGAAGTCTTTTACGGGGACACCTACGTGTTTTATTGGTGTTTTCAACAGCTGCCGTCACTACAAGCAACCATGACGCATTCGGCCGAGAGTCACCAGGGTCACTGGTTGAACCGAAACCCTCTGGCTGCGAGCTATTAACGGTGTTGACTAGCACTGGACTGTTTGTAAAGTCCGTTTTAAAAGTGAATAAAGTCAAACCTCTGAGTCTTTGTCCTGGTGTTTGACGTTCTCTACATGAACACAGATAACAGAGTTGGATCATCTAGAGACTTGTAGCTCATAATGTCTCTCTGGTCTAACGTTACACGCTAGCTTTGTCCACCAAATACATGTTTAAACCCTCCCACTAAATACTGGGCCACTAGCTGATGTCTTCCACCCACTAAGATAGATCTGGAAAGTCACTCTTTTTAGGTTGCATTCACCATCTTGGCTGGTTAATGCCCTTGCATAGCTTGACAAGCAAACTGCGGGCGTCATCATTGTTTAAAAACTTTAAAGGGGTCCATTGAGCACTTTACAGTTTTAGGACATGCGACACATTTCGGTCGGTACCAAAAAAGAACTGCCGATTCATATCTACCTCTAGTTCCAGCACGCAAAATGTGCAATGTTTTCATTTGCATCAAAATCTGTATTTCAGCTGATGTTTTTTGTTATCTTAATAATGTATAACAGCGTGATGTTTGTGTGTGTGTGCAGCCCCAGTGCCAGGCCATCCAGGATGTGGAGAAGGCAGTGTCTCTGTTTGAGAGCACAGGAAGAATCTCTGCCACAGTCATGGAGGCCAGGTATTCAGCCACATCGTCACCTCGCCAGCAGCACATTTATAAAGTACACAACAGGTCCTTTAGACAATCTGGGTGTCATGTAGATGTGAGAAGTGAGTTAGACGGAGACACGGACGGATTATTGACACTCCTGTCCTCCCCCAGTATTTTCCGGAGGCCGTATTTCCTGGCGCGGTTCCTCCCTGCTCTGCTGACACCGAGGATGGTGAGCAGCTCTATCTCACTGTTACTGCTACACATTTCTCCGATGTGAAGCGAGTTTATCTGACGCTGTCTTTCAATTCCAGCTTCCCGTCAAAGCTGACACTCGGATGAGTTTCATAGAGGCTCTGAAAAAGTGAGTTATTATCAGAAGCTTGTGAAATTGCTCTTCTCTTTTCTCCAAGGCAACTTTTTTTAGACTTGAGTTTATATAATTTGGTCATGTCATGTATTTATTGTCTCCCAAAATGTATTCCTTTATCCCTTTTAATCTAAGAAAACTTTTAATTTCGCATCACTGCTTGTATGTTTGTGTTTGTGGGCCTGATCAGAACAATCATCAGATTGTGAATGTTCTTTACCAATCATGTTTAACTGTGATTCTTCTGTATTTTCCCTGTTATGACACTTTGTTTTTCTGCATTCAGGGCAGATAAGATCCCTGCTGCACAGTATTCATCTTATGTGGAGTCTTGCCAGAAACAGAGGCAGCAGGATGGTAGGTCATTCGCTCATTTATTGTAGTGGATACTCACAAAATTAGATTTAGTCTAAGAATGCAATCAGAAAAACAACCACATACAAAGTAGTGAAACATTTTATTTCATGTGTTTAGTTTTATATTTGCTTCATAGTAGTTTAGAAGGTTATGTAATACAGATATGACTATTTGACAATTGAATATGTTGATGTTTTGTCTGAAATACCCGAGAGTGGCTCAGCTTACTTCCCAGTACGAACTCTTGATTAGCATATTTTTTTAAACTAATTTGGTCCTCAAAGTTGTACAATCCATTAATACCCGAATGTAGAGCTATTTTACCTTCCTCATTCATGTGAATGAGACTGGACCTTGGGCTGGGAGGCGGGGTTAAAGGAAATGCTAGTGCTCCGGAAAGATCCGGAAGATCCGCGTAATTTCTGCTGAATTTCAGCTTAATTTCATATTTGGAAGTCAAACTTTTTTTTGCTTCATGCGCCACTGAGCAGCTTTCATAGGAATGAACGTGGCTCCGCCTCCAACTCTGTATCCACTTCTCTTCATGCATCCACTTTTCTAGATAGGACTCAAAGCGTTCGTGTTTTCTTCCAGGAGAGCTTTATTTTCTCTATGCATTCTAAACACAAGGTACATTTATTGTGTGTGAGCAAGTTATGTCAAATTAAAACTCACCTGGAAGAAAACAACAATTACAACACGTTTTCACAGAAAAAAGGGAGAGAAAAAGTCTCCTGGCAAACCTTTCTTCACCTCTTCTTAAGTCATGAACACAGGAGACAAAACTATTTACATCAAACATAGAAAATTGATCAACAGAATTTTATTTTACTCACAAGTTGCCTCTCAGGGTTTCCGTATAGATGTAATGTACGACAATTACGTAACTGAAATAGCCCATAACTGCTTTTGCACTGTGTTGTGTTCCCAGGAGGTGCAGTGTGTTTGGACACCAATGATGAGCCTCTGGAGGTCCTGAAGATTCAGCTACAGGAGTTCACAGAGCTGCTTGTTGAGGGGAATGATGGAGGTAGGCAGATATCGACAAAGGACATGCAGCACATCACACACAGGCTTGGTGTCCTGTAGTCAGGACTCCAAGATTAGCCGTTATACAATGTCGCCCAGGTCTACAATGAGACTGCACTGTGAGGCTATCTCTTTGAATCCCTCATCTCCACACCTGACCTGTACCCTCAGAGATGTCTGCCCAGCTGTCCAGGATCTCACACACTCTGAGCGTCATCTTTCCCGGCTGCAACGATGAGCCGGTTGGAAGGACAGTCATCGAACTCCACACGAACACCCCGCTGTCCCCTGAGCTCCACGTCAAAGTATGAACTTCTCTCCATCAGTGAGCCGCATGTATGTCAGCATGTATTCTTTCATTCTCTCCCTCGTGTTCTCAGGTCGTCAGCATGATCCTGAGAAACTTCTGCCAGTGTGTGCTCGACGCTTCCAGAGCAAACCCTCCTAACAAGTGAGCGCTGCAACTTTTTTAGGAAGTCTTGCGCTAAACAAGAAATTTAATTATTGTCAGGGTATGAAAAATTGGGGGGGAAAATCCCACAAATGTATTGAGTATCATTTAGTGGCCATACATATACATTTATCTACATACAGCACCTGGAGGGAAGCATTAAAGGGATAGTTTGGTTTTATGAGGTATTTATCAATATTTACTTTTTTTGACATGCACCAAATATTCAGTTTATTTTAAAAAATACAATATTCCTGCTAAGCCTTTTACATTGCTAATGAAAAATAAATATTCCACTGAAATTCGCGTTTACATGCAGCAGTACGTACTCCCTCTTGAAAAAGAAGTCGTTGCAATATTTGCACATATCCAAAAACCTGTTGATAGCCAAGTATTTCTTAATGTTTAAAAGTAGGTGTGTTTCTCTCTGTCACCAGAGATGTGGGGTTTTCTTTTGGGCATGCATCTCTGCATAGTGTTAGCTAGTTGGTTTGTGGCCATGTGGAGCATTTGCGAAAAAACAACAACATGGCAACGGCCGCATTCCAAGATGGCAACGGCGAAATTGCCGAACTTGAGACTTCAAAACATCAGTCCACAAACCGATGAGTGACGTCCACTTTTTATATGCGGTCTATGGGTGTATACATTTCCACAGAATGCTCCTAAAACCAGAATAATATTGGCATCTCCTACACTTCTTAGTGGGAAAATGCTCCATTTGGAATAAGCAATTACAAACAGAATATGATGTTTACATGAGCATTATCAATTTGGAAAATTGTCATATTCTGAAAAGAAATGGAATATTAATGTGCATGTACAAGGCGGTCGTTTTCTGGGAATTAACAGTTTCCATCTGTGTTATGAGATTGCCTCTTCCTTTTTATTTATTTCTTACGTGTGATAAAGTGATGACAAAACAAGTGCAGACAAGGGCATGAACCCAAAGAGCTGAGGGGATAATACAAAGTAGGACAGAGGACAAAAGCAATCTCAGGAGTTTAACACAGTTTCAGACAGATGGGTATGAGAGGAAAATATGTATATATATATATATGTGTGTGTGTGCGTGTGTGTGTGTATGTGTATATGTATGTATATATGTGTATATATATATATATATATATATATGTGTATATATATATATGTATATATATGTATATATATATATGTATATATATATATATATATATATATA